TGTGAGTGTCTGTAACCATCAAATTAATAAGTTCTGGTGTAAGAAAAACTCCAAAAAATCAGTGGGTGATGAATCAACTGGCATTTGAATTTTTAGGCCGCTTTCTTCACAAAATTGAAATTCTGGTGGATCTTGTGGAATACCTGTCCAGACATGTACCGGTACTTGCTGATTCGCACTGTGTTTTGGGGGGTTTACGTGGTTTAGCAATTTGTTTGTTAAAAATGGCCTTTTTACCCCAAAAATAGGTTGTGAGGAACATTAAATTATGATTTTTTTTGTTATTGAGATACCAAGTTGAGTCCTATACTACATGATTCAATCACTATCACAAGGTTTGGATGAGGTTTGTGGGGTTTAGCAATACCCTGGTTCTGGTACTGGACCTCTAACCACAGTGGGTGCGTGTGTGTATATTATGCATAAAGTCTCTACTGTACTCAATTTAAAGTAACTTATATGTGGCAAAGACGAGCCAAACCAGTCACAAATCGTGTTTCAGATTATAGAACTAAATTTATAACATAAAAACATTATTTCACTTCCTTATAAATAAGGAAGTGACAGTGTCAACCTTTTTTATAATGATTGCAGGGCAGAATTTTTAAGTACAATATTTGATTGCCCTTCGGGCAGGCCAGGCCTAGAGTTTGGTACAGACTTGGTATAAATTTGGTAAAAAGTGTACCTTAATAACAAGTTCAGCTCAAAAACAAAATATACAACAAACATGGTTTAATGAGTATTGCATTGCATAGTTTCAGAATGATGACCAATTTATGACTGCCACTGTTTTTCTAACTAATTGATGCTTGGCTTGCTTTTTGTAGGCGCAAGGGAAAGGCGGAATACTGTATAAATACCCAGTACCAGTAGTCGGCAGTGTCTGAATTTGATCATACGGCTCTATATCTGGTTTGACCACATTGAAATATCAGGGGGGATAAGCCACCGAGTTGCCTTTACATTACACTTTACTAATACACAAACCAATGGAGTATTGGCAGCTAAAAATTTGATCTTCCAGTTTCGTAATCTATGTTGTCAGAACATTAAACACTTGTTTCACAATTACTATTATGATGTCTGTTTTTAGAGATTTAAATAGGTTGTCCATCATCTGGAGGTACGTAAAATGTAGCTGCCTGTAAATATTTGGTTGCCCCGAGAGTTTGGTAGACATAGACATAGACATCACTTTATTAATCCAAATCCTTGGAAATTACATCTCTCTTTCAATAAATTAAGCAGGAAAAGTAATTCAATGCAATAAATAATAACTATCTTACATATCTACTATTAAATAGGTAAATGCCCCTCGCAATGAATGAGTTAGAATAACGGTTCGTGTTAGCAGCCGGTACCCTCAGTCTACCGCTGCGTTGTATAACGCAACTAGCAATAGTTGAATGTAACGAGTGACTTTCGTCAGACATCACGTTATCAAACTTATTAACTAGTCGTTCTTCGTAGACTGAGTGCACCGATTGCAGTTCCGAACCGATAATCTTCCCAAACCTGTTAACAAACTTCTGTAATCTGTCCCTATCACCTTGTGAAATATTCCCACCCCAACAAACTAAGCAGTAACAAAGTAATCCGAGAATAATAGAATTATAAAATGACAGCATTATCTCCTTCCTGACCTGAAAAGAATTAAGTTTCCTAAAGCAAAACATTCTCACATTAAGTTTCTTAACTAAATGGTCACAGAAAATTCCCCACGACAGTTGATTATCATAGATTACCCCCAGATATTTATACGATGTAACTTGTGCTATTTCTTTATTTTCAATAATGATACTTTCTCCCTTAACCCGCTTTTTTCGAAAATCAATCACCATTTCTTTCGTTTTCTCTATTAATTTCAAGAAAGTTATCTTTACAATAAGACACAAACCTTTGAATTTCTGAAATATAAAAAGACAGGTCGTCCTTCCTAATTAGACCCAAGATTACCGTATCATCAGCATATTTAATTGTTGGACATTCATTAGCTGATCTAAAGTCAGCAGTGTAAATAGTGAATAGAAACGGAGCAAGTACGGTGCCTTGCGGGGCACCAGTACTGCAATATAGGGTGTCAGAAATAATATTACCGATTCTTACATACTGTGGTCGATTTGTCAAATAGTTTAAAATGAAAGTAATAAGATATGGTGGAACATTCATATTAATGAGTTTAGTGGCCAAAATATGTGGTTGAAAGGTGTTGAAAGCTGACGAAAAATCAAAATACATCAGTCGCACCGAGTGGCCCTTGCTCACATGCTCCAAATGGGAATACAATCTATCATTTTTAAGAAGTGCATCTTCAGTGGAACGATTACTGCAGTAAGCAAATTGCAGGGGATCCATATAATTTTTAACAAAGGGTTTAAACACATTAATTACAATTTTCTCAAGTACTTTCATCGCCGCAGATGTAAGAGCTATTGGACGGAGATCGTTCATCTCACTGATCACTGGTCTCTTGGGTATTGGAACAATACATGATTTCTTCCATATTTTGGGGACTATCAAAAATTAAACAACCTGGAAAAAACTGAAGATAACTGGTCAGCACAGACTTTTAATACCCTAGGCAGTACTTTATCTGGGCCAGGTGCTTTCGATGTTTTAAGTTTCCTAAAATAGTTGCGGACAGTGGTTTCATCCGTTAAGAAATTCGAACTTACTGTATTATTTCCAAGTTCAGATAATATTTTGTCTCTTTCCACTCTAAAATTAGAGTAGGTAGGTCATTCTGTGAGCCTTGAGTTGGAGTAAGCCTACACTACTGTAATACCCGATTCACACGTACAAAAATCTTACCAAATGTAACAAAATGTAACCAAAAGTAACATTTTACGGCACGTGTGAAAGTACCTCCGTGTAATATCCTTGTAAAATCTCGGAACGTCTCGGTAATCTTTACCAGCCTCGCTGAGGCTGGTAAAGCTTCCGAGATGTAACATGGATGGATCTGCGCATGCGCAGGGATTTCAACACAACAACAATCTACTGTTTCACGGGGTTCTTTGAATTTTCTTCCTTCTGTATACGATTCTGATCCACTAGAAATAGATAGGCTCTATTTTTTCTAAATGATGAATGAATTACCCTTGTTATTGATGTTAATTAGTAATGGTAGAAGAAGAAGATATACATAAAATGAACGTCGGGATGGTGTTAGTACTATTACTAGGCTAGTATTACAAGAGTCCGAGACAGAAACGTTGGAAGCTATGCCTAGTTTAATAGTAGTAGTACAGCAATTGTTAAGGATATTGATTGCTTCGAATGTTTACTGTGATGGTGAGTTCAACAGTCCATCTGTGACAGGGGTTCTCAACTAGGCCTAGACTAGACCTATATCGCAGTAGGGGAAAAATGGTTCATTGAATACTTGGCATTACCTTACAGACGCGTGTGAATGCTTTTTATCTCGGTAGGAATAACTCGGGAGATCGCTCGGTTACAATTTGTTACTTTTTGTTAAATTTAACTTCACGTGTGAATCGGGTATTAGTCATTTCCACTCAGATCATCCCATATTGATCGTCATTGGAGATTACAGTAGCTTCAGTAATAAAAAATTATGTAAAAATAATAAGATAAAGGTTAAGTCATTCACACATGCTTTTAGGTACTGTAGTTTCAAAACAAAATCACATCCTTTAATCTACAATATGTTAAATTAACTTTCATATTAATCTGGGGTTGATGCAGGAGGGTGCAGATGGTGCGAGTACACCCCCTAAATTGTGTTAAGAAAAAAATTGTTATATTGTTGATGCGAAGATAAATTATATTAAATCTGGTATGAGAGTGCAATTTCCGGACACCTACTGAAGAGGTCCATATTCTCAAAAAAAAAATGTTTGCACCTCAGTCCCAAACTTGGTAGAGCTGAGGTGTTGTGGACTCACACGCTTCCTTACCACCAAATAAATGAAATTAATCTGGTATGCGATTGCAATTTCTGGGCACTTAGAGTTCCATATTCTCAAAATTTCACACAACCCCTTCCGCCAAATCCTGCATCTTCCCCGGTAAATAATTTAGTGAAAGGAACAAATTACGATTTTTGCCTAATGTGCAGTATGCCTACTGTACATTGAACTTTGAACTTGATGTTGAAGATAAGCATTATTGTAATTGATTCATAACATAAACAAAATATTGCGTGATTCATATTACGTTACATTTGAAATGTGTGTATAGTAGATATCCAACAATAACATCTGTGTACATTGTGTCTGTCAGTACCATTTACTGAAATCTGTTAATCTTTATAGTAGACTAAAGTTTCAAATCTCCAAAAGAATGACTTGGTTGCACTCCATCACTACTCTGGCAAATTTGAACAAGTCAAGGCTAGACAAATTCTATCATTTAGAACCATGCCAGGCATGAAGTTTTTTTGATGCCAAATGAAGACAAACGTAAATGTTGTCACAATAAAATATGTCTAAAATTACATGTTCAAAGCATTGTAAAATCGTATAATGTACCTCTGCGGCAGATGGAGGAGTTGGCACGGGTCTACAAGTGAAGCTGGACCATGTAAATGAAATCAGAAACTTGCAAATCCAACAAAAAATGTTGACTTACTGTATACACAGATAGTACCCTAACAAATTACATTTTAGAGACAAAGATCGTGAAAGTAGTTTATTTAAAATTATGTAAAATTACCAATAATGGTGGTGCCATATTACATTTGTGGACAATAATCATTTTGCCTAAGTGCTGGTTACAATGTGTATCTCTTTTCACACATCTTGAACCATTGAGCTTGGGGAAATACCCTGGAAGCACCCCCTTAGTGATCAGTAAAAATCTACAAAGCATTGCTGTAGGCAAATTAGTTCTAAATGGCTTTGTAAAAAGATCTTTGAAAATAAGATAACTTAATAATAATAATAATTGTCGATTTATATAGCGCATATTGTAAACTAACCTCTATGCGCTTTACATTATTACGTTTATTGCAAAAATACTATTCTTTATTCCAGGCTAAGGAAATTCTGACAAAGGAATCTAATGTACAAGAAGTGAAATGCCCAGTGACAGTGTGTGGAGATGTTCATGGTCAGTTCCATGATTTGATGGAACTGTTTAGAATTGGTGGAAAATCACCAGATACAAATTACTTATTTATGGGCGATTATGTTGATCGAGGCTATTACTCCGTTGAAACTGTCACCCTTTTAGTTACTCTGAAAGTAAGTTGCAAGTGGATCCTATAGTAATTTTTTTTTATCCTGCTGTACTTATCGATTTTAGTATTTTTATTATTATCAGTGATCATTGTATTGTATATTTAATTGCTACCCTTATAACTTGTTTTAGGCATTCTTCAACTTTCTATATCAATAGGCCATGTATGATGGGTGATTCCATTATTTTCCTCACGGTGTCTGAATACTGAACAATATGCAGGCCGTGTATGATGGGCAATTCCATTATTTTCAATATGCTTGACAGTAAAAATTTTTAATTACCTTGACCTTGTTCTTTGACCTTTTCCCATACTGTACGTCACCTCTTAGATTACTTTGTACCATTTCAGTGAATTGTATGATGATCTATTCCTTAGTTTTTGCGTAATCTTGCTAACAGACAGGGGTGAACCTTCTTGGTGGAGGTAATTAGTATTCTTACAGACAAAAGCCAGAAAAAGATGAGAATGTACAGGAAGCAGAAGAAAATATAAAGAAAGTGTACATTGGTATTCACTCATCCTATGTAGTTAATATAATATTGCAATACAATTTAAAAATATCAGCTTGTTTCTTAACTCAATTAAGTTTTTTTTCCCCCTAAATTTTTACATTACTTTTGTTCTGATCGGTTTCATTCCAAAATGACTGCCTTTTCATTATAAAAGATTGCTCTTAAAATATAGAATTTATCTTTTTGCAAGATTCTAAGGAATTTTTCAGAACTGTCCATATTTAGAATTTGATGTTTGCATGATTTGAAGGCCTAAATCTTTGATTTGCTGTCTCGTGCAGGTGCGTTTTCCAGAGCGAATTACCATCCTCAGAGGAAACCATGAAAGCAGACAAATCACACAAGTTTATGGTTTCTATGATGAATGTTTAAGGAAATATGGTAATGCAAATGTGTGGAAATACTTCACAGATCTCTTCGATTTTCTTCCTCTCACAGCTCTTGTTGATGGTCAGGTAAGAATTTACTATTTCTTCGATGTAGAATCAGTAGCTTCAAATACTGTAGCTACAGTATTTGCTAATGTGTTCCTTTTTAGTTACTGTCATAAATTTTCAGAAACCGTTCAATATATATTTAAGCTAAATTAAATATATATATATATCGTCCCGATTTTCCATGTCAAAAACATCAAAACATGGGGCGTCCCTATTTTCAGAATTTAAGAAAAAAAAATTACAATGTAAGAAGTATCCTCTACTTGCCAGTGTGATGAAGGGAATATTAGTCCGTAGTTCTCCGGGTATAATCCCATCTCCATGAATGTGAAATTGGCCCAATTTTAGGGGGTGGAATTATACCCGGGGACTCCCTAGTGTATGAACAGAACGAAAAGGACCATCTTTTTGCGAGGTGTCAGATGCGTTTCAACAATTGCCCTATGATTCAATAGCCTATCAAAAACAATATTTCAGCGAATAAATCATTCTTTACTCGAGCATCAAATTAAGAGCAGAGAGAACAGCTACCTAGGCCATATCTTGGTCTGACATCCCACTAAGCCAGCCTTTGCTTAAACTTATTTTCTTGCATGATGTAACAAGTTATCTTTAAAATACAAATTAATTATATATTTAAAAAGTATATATTTATACATTATAAAAATATATATTTACAATTCCATCATTTTTTTTAAATAAACTTTTTTTTTATTGATCAGTTCAGAATTATTGATAATTGTAATTGAAATATATTGCATAAAAACCGCATCTTTTATATTTATTGTGCGTTAATTAACCTATTTGGAGTAACATTCATTCTATGTTATAGCCTAGAACATGTTCATTCTCTTAAATATCCATACTTTTACGTTGTTAAATGACCAAATATATGGTAAGGAATTTAATCAATATAAAGAGATAGTTGTACAGTAATTGTACTTAGATTCCTATTTTTTTCCCATGTCATTAGATATTCTGTTTGCACGGTGGACTATCTCCTTCGATTGACACACTTGATCACATTAGAGCATTGGATCGATTACAAGAAGTCCCACATGAGGTATGTTAATTTTTTCGTGTAGTGTATTAATATAGTAATAAATATAACACAACTTCTTTGACAACTTTAAGCCCTATCAAAAAAAAGGAAATTTGAATTCACCTTAATATGAGAGAATATAATATAATGTTTATAATAATGTATTTATCATAGTAGTATTAAGCGATGTTGACAGTATTTTTCCCTGTATTATGTCACTTTTTCTTTTGATGTTAGTAAACTTATTTGATCTTTCTAAAGATGTGGCAGGATAACAATTCATGAAAAATCTTCAGGAAAATCTTCAAATTGTTTATTTATAAAAATCAAATAAGATATCACTTTGAAGTTTAATCAAGTCAAAGATTTAAAAAATCATTTTACACCGAAGAAATTTAGGGAGTATATATGCAAAATTATAAAATGGTATTACTTATATATTAGTAGGAATATTTTTTTTCTATAATGTTTTTTATTTTAAAGGAACTAACTTAATAAAATATGAGTAAGCAATTTTTAAAGTGAGCTATTCAATGTTTAAATTGAATATTAAAGGGTTTTTTAAAATTTAAACTATTCAAGCAATATACACAAATTGTAAAATAAAAATGATATTTGTATATTATTAAAAAGTGTAGTAAATAATTTTAAATATCATGAATTCCCGTGCCATAAGAACCGTGGCAAACTGAATGCACTATTAAACCTTTTTTTAACAGGGACCAATGTGTGACCTTCTGTGGTCTGACCCTGATGACCGTGGTGGCTGGGGTATATCCCCACGTGGAGCTGGATATACTTTTGGACAGGACATTTCAGAAACTTTCAATCATACCAATGGACTTACACTTATATCAAGGGCACATCAGCTAGTCATGGAGGTAGGCCAAGCAGTGTTGGTCATTAACATCTACACTGATAATAAATTATATACTGGTCATATTTTTTGCCAATATAGCCGGACTCTTTAAACAGTCTCTTCAGTCTGGGATGAGAATTGAGAATGGAGGAGAAAGAGTATTTATGGTGTGAATCCCACCAAGGATAACCCACTAAGTCTAAAGACATGTTTCCAGTAGGGTCCTTTTGGTTATGAATTGGGCAGTACACCAGGAGGAAACCCCCACTTTTTAGCGAAGAGTGCATGTTCTTTAACATGCACATGGGTCATAATGCACGCGGGACCAATGGCTTAAGCGTCTTACCTGAAAGACGTTGCGCTATTGTAACTTGCATTTCAGTCCTCCAGCTGAAATACAAGGAGAGCAGCGATGGAACCAAGAGACCTCCACGGTTAAGCGCACACATTGGCTACTGCCAGTTTAGCCGACTGAGCTAAGCTGTACTTGTTTGATAAAAATTATGGAGGATTTGAACTGGAAATTGAGACAAGCAAGATTAGCATTTGATCCATCTACTTCAAAGCTTTAATACAATTTATTAATTTTAATTTTTTTTCCCTCAGGGATATAATTGGTGCCATGATCGTAATGTGGTCACCATTTTCAGTGCACCTAACTACTGTTACAGATGTGGAAACCAAGCTGCAATCATGGAACTTGATGATGCCCTTAAATATTCATTGTAAGTAAACATTGCAATTGTTTTATTCTTACACCAGCTGTCCAGTATTTTCACATTGCAGTGTGATTTGCAATTAAAAAGCAGCCATTCAACAAGTTATTGTGACTTAACATTCAAGCAGCCATCCAGCAATTTACATTAAAATTTATTAAAAAACAGCCATCCAACAAGTTATTGTGACAACATTCAAGCAGCCATCCAGCAATTTACATTAAAATTTATTGTAAAGTGCCTTTATCATGCCTTAAGCATGACCGCTTTCTCCTAATAACTTGCTGACATACTTTTATTATATGCCTATTCACATAAGCAGTGGCTAGAACTGGATTAAAAAATACAAAAAGACAATAATATAACCAGTGTGTGCTAGTTAAGTACTTGTGTGCTATGGTTGTTTCATTTTTAGTTTTCCTTATAGAATTGCCTTAACTGTATAACTAGGTAATATGTTTTTGTTTTTTTAATACAGCTTACAGTTTGATCCAGCACCACGCAGAGGAGAACCACATGTGACACGCCGTACACCTGACTACTTCCTCTAAAGCCCACATCAAGGGCTGTGTGACAATCCTAAGTCCCAAAATTACATTTGTACAAGATCCTTAAGTTGCCGTTTGAAATCAAATTCAGATGAGAAGTCATCTTATAATGAAGGAAAACAAATTAATAGTATGGGGAGCAGTTTTATTATCGACAATGTTTCTATTAAGCAACATTAGAAGACACTTGGCAACCTGTCCAGATTTCATAAAAAAATATATCTAGTTCAAGTGGTAACAAGTAGTTAAACTGTTTAGTATCTATTCATCATGATTCAGCGTTTTGTTGTGAGGTTTGGTTTGTTCCGAGTGAGATGAGAAAAGAATTTGTAATTGTGTCAGGTATTTGTACTGTGGTTGTATGTTAATTACCCATTCTCATACCCTCACTCCCCATCTTTCCGTTACCCAATATAGCAAGGCCCAGGGTGAAATTGCACAACTTGAAGCTGTCTTCCTACACCAGAATTCATAGAATGGTTTTTAAAATGTTATTGGTGTAATGTAAGTGAAGCAAAAATTATATGGACTGCTGCTCCATGAAGATTGTGTAATGTTCTTGCTAGTATATTAATGCCTATGTTGCTAATGTGAATTATTTATGTTTAATAGCATTACTTGATGGTAAAACATACACTGATTAGTTGACAGCATCTGCAAAATCTCATTTTTCATTGTGCTTGTTAAATCCCCATTGTCTGTGTATATTTATAGATTGAAATTGTTTTGATATAAGACATTTACTGCTTAAGATTGATAAATTGCAAGGAAAAGTTTAGTAATTCTAATATTTTCTGAATAAGGAATTGTTCAAATTGCGAGTTTAACATTTGGTTATAAACAATATTATATTTTCAAAAATTTAAAAATCTAAGGGTTCCATGTACAAAAATGATCGCATATTGTGTTAACTTTTTATAAAATTGGTTTGACCTCCATTTTGAATCTATGCCATTTTTCAGTTTCCCATCAGAACAATCTACAAGGATGACTCTGAAGGAAGGTAGCAGCGTCACATGTTAATTTATTATTAAATTGCTTATACTGTATTTAGATTACCTTACTTAAGCCAATGCAATACTGTTTGAGGAACTCTTGAGTGGGAAAACTGTTGTTACTTGTTTTGTGGGTTTTTTTGCTAATTTCACCATCATTGTTACGTTAACATTAGAATTTTATTCTGAAGAAGTAGGTATGTAGCATAATTCGTTCATTCCTGAAATTCATTTATACCAGTTAATCATTTGGTTACATTTTTAAAGAATGGATTATGTTCTAAAACCCCCAATTTATAAGTACATATTCAAAATTTTAAAATTATTATATTTTGATGTTTATTTGACAATAAACTATATTTCATCAAGGTCCTATTTTAGGTCGAATGCAACATTGGTTATATAAATGTATCAGGAAATTTGACATTGTCAAAAATGTGATTGCTTACCGTTAATGTTTTCCACTCAAATTGATCATCACTGGATAAATTTAATGTTTGTAATTTAATCAGTCAGACAGTTAGGATTGCATTAGATTGGGTGCTTATCATAAACATTACGCTTAAATTGTGTTTAAGGGTATTGTTGCAGTCAGCTTTGCCAAATAGATGTTGTCCGGATGAATTTTTATTACATTCTATTTCCATAAATAAGCAAATAGTTTTAATTTCATTAGCTTCTGATTGGAACAAGGGTACAGAAACGGTATAAAAACGTTTTTCATTCAGTAATAACAGTATGTAAGTTCATTTCAGTGTAATTATTTTGTTCCACATCATTTACAAATTGTGTTGATTTTTATTTCTAGCTAATTATTGGTTGTAATAGCTTGCATGATATGTGATTAAATTTTAAAGATGCAAGATAGCGTGGCAGTGTGAACTGGACAGTGGCTTCATGTAGAATGCAACCAGGGCCTTTCAAAAATGTGCATACAAATTCTATTTCTGTCGTAAATAAATGTGAGATACTCTATTTGAATTGTCTTGAAATTTCTTGTTCATGTCTAGTAAGTTGAGATAATGTTATAATTTAAGATAATGATTATCTACGAATCAGCAGACGTTTACTATATAATTTTAAAACAAAATTTATTGACAAAAAAGAAGATCGATGTTTCGAGTCCATCATGGACACATTCTCAAGATCAAGTGAGAATGTGTCATATTGTTGTTCACTTGATCTTGAGAATGTGTCCATGATGGACTCGAAACGTCGATCTTCTTTTTTGTCAATAAATTTTGTTTTGAAAATGATTATACTGTAATGATTAATGATGGGAGTTGACAATGATGATGGAATAGTAGTAACAAAGTGTTTATTTTGCCAAATTTGTCATTCTTAGGGTTAGGTGTGAGTGTGAAATGAGAATCTTGTGCAAAATAGTAGGCTTTCTATCTGCTAATATCTACTGCTAATAGAAATACTGTACCTGTACTGATACTTTCTGTGGTGTAAGCCGGGCACACTGCATCATACAACGCATCCAATTCTGCTCCTTGTGACTGCTAGACGATGCAACGTTGTCAGCTGATTGTCGGTTGCAGTCTGAACGGATCACCATTAAAAAACAATCCGCTGCACACATGTCATGGCCCTGCATTTTCCATGGAATCACGTCGGGCGACGACCATCATATGCAGTTAGTTATATCCACACTATTAAATACAGAGTGTTTAAAATTTTAGGAGGGCCTAGTGATCCCACCTCTTTCACAGACAATGGTTTTATAGTGGAGCAGAGTTCGAAACTGTTTACGGTGCATGTATTAATTCCACTTTTAGACTGTTAATACAAGTGTTACAAAATATTGAACACCTGGCAAATTGAGGCCAGTATAATAGTCTACCAAGTCTTCTCTAGTGTTCCTATGAAGCAGTAGAAGACTGACTCGCGAGACAAATGATAATACAAGGGTAATACAGTAGTGAAAACCGATTTATTGAATTTGCTGGAGGTGGCTTATTTTTCCCGGCGATTCTATGCCGGTTGTGAGAGTGCGGGAGGCCGCCCCGGTTTCCGGGAGACTTCCGCGACTTGTTAGCAGCATGTCATTGACATCTATTTTTGTGATTTCCATTTTTTTTATGTATATTACAGTAGTAGCCAAACGAGGTAATTTCAAGCCGCCTTTCCTATGTCAAGTTAGAGGGCCTAATTACCTCCGCCAATGAAATTACAGTATGTATTCACCCCTGTTTGCTGTCTGTCTTCAAGATTACAAAAACAAACTAATGAATGGATCATTATAGAATTTAGTGGAATGGTAAAAAAAAGATGATTAACTTTTAGAAAGAAAAGTCAAGGTCACGGAAATTCGATTTTTTATCATCGAGCATAAAAGGAAATATTGGAATCACCCTCATACACGGCCTGCGTATTGTTCGGTACATGCAGGCACAGGGTGGAGGTATGCACTCTAGTTTGCTGTAGTTGACATGCACACATATCTGTCCCTGGTAGTTATATTAGTATTAAAATTCAATTATTTTGTTATTAACTTACAATTGAAATGTTTAATGTGACCACAATTTACCACTCAACTAAAAAAATAAATATCTTTTCTGTATTCTTTTACATAGAACCTTAAATTGGCTAGTAATAACTTTTACATAGAACCTTAAATTGGCTAGTAATAAATTTAAGGATTTTAAACATCTGTACTGTAAAAGTATGTGTTTTCAGTCCATTTCTGGACATATCAACTTGATAAGACATTTGATCCTTTTGAACGGGGTATTCAAATATTTCTTTTTTTATAAGCTGTTTTGAGATATTTATTTACTACAGTTTTGTCCTGGTTTACCAAAAAACTAATGTAGTATAATTATATATAAATCACTGCTTGCATAGGAACCAAGGTGCGTCGACACAGGTTTCATGTTGAAATTGATTCCTACATGGAAAAACTACATAATTATGCTATGTTGTCAAGTGTAAAGTTGAATCAGTCCTGAACGACTAAATTCTGAATAGAGCTGTTGTTTTGGCCTTCACTTGTTTGTTTTTTGTTTTTCTTTTGAAATTTTTGTAAGGCACGCTCTTTTAATCGTAGAGCGCCATATAAGAATGTCGAAATAATAAACAACCAAGAGTACCTCATTATTGTGATAAATAGAATATATTTATTAATCAAAACATTTACAAATTGCTTATTGTCATTTGATCACATACTTTAAAAAATTATTATTGTTATGGTAATGGACATTATTCTTCACTTCAATTACTAATATTAAATTAATATCGACCAGAGAAAACCCCCATAAAACGATATGATTATAAAAACACGACTGCAATCTCATTATCTTTCCACTCTGCTAAACTCCTTATATAGCTACGCTCCTCCTGTTCTGATCCTCATCATATTGTTCAACCTCCCGACTCTTCCTAACCATGCAACTGCAACTGTTAATCCTACAACTGCTCCAACTTCTGGGTTCCTCCATATTTCTCTTCCCTTCCAGACTCATAATCCTACACCTTCTCCTCCCCTTCTGATCCTCCTCATCGATCCTCTTTTCCCGAATCCTCATTACCATCGAGCTGCTCTTCCACTTCTGATCCTCCTCCTCCTCCTCCTCCTTATCCCTTTTCTCGTTTTTCTCATGAATCCTCATATTCCTACAGCTACTAGTTCTCTCCTGGTCCTCATCTTTTTTCTCCTCACGACTTATAATCCTGCAGCTGCTCCTCTCCTGATCCTCTTCCTTCTCATTCTCTTCCTCTTCATTTTTCTCGCCCTCTTTCTTACAGGACAAATTGACTGCATCTCCTTCAGCATTTCCATTACACTCTATGACATAAAATCTACGGATGTAATAAACAACAAGTTTAATTTACAGTGTATCCAAATGCTCGGCCCAGCTTTTGTGGTGTCAATAGTAAATGTTTCTCTGCGCAATAGTTTTCCTTATAATAATATCAAAACACTTAAAATACTAATGGTTATTAAACATAAACTGAAACTTGTTATCAGTAACAATGGCAAAACTTAATTTAATTTTATTTCAATATTATTACAACATTATCCTAATGAAATTTTAAATAGCAATCTGTTGGTTGATCTTTGAATTTTTTATTTTGTTTAATACGGCATTAAGTTACAGGCAGTGCAAGACAACTACAAGGCTACAGCTACAGACATTAAAATATTTAAAGCATGATATTTGTTCTTCGTTCTTGTACTTATTTTTCTTGGGTATGGACAAAGTAACTTACCTTGGTGACTTCGTTTTTGTATCTTCAGTTACATTCTTCTTAATTTTCAACAAGTCCCTTAGAGCTGCGAGTACCTTTGATTTTCTTCTACATGCACCACACCTTAATAACAACAAAATACAACGTGATCAAAACGAGTGATTATTATGGCAATAAAACCGCAATAATGTTTTAAAACTGTTTTACTTACTTTCTTTTGTACACCCTATCAAAATGCCGTTCATCATCTCCCCTTCTCAGACAATCGTCAATATTAGATATTTTATCTTCATATTTGTAAATTATTTGTTCACGTTTAGAAATTCTGAAAAGAAATATGAAATTATGATTTGGTTAGGCATAAACATGTTCTTTGCAGCACCTATTTAAGCCTAAGTTTTTGTCTTCTCAATATTTAGAAAATGTACCGACAGGAAGGCTATTATGATTGATACAAAATTGTTGATAATTATATAATTCAAAAATAATGGTAACAAGTCAACTATTAACATTTAACACATAATAACAAATCTGCATATAATGTAATTAAAAATGAATGATATTTTTATGATATCAATAACATTATAATAATCAATAAAACAGCTTAAGACTTTCTTCTATATTATTGATCGTACTCACGCATTTATCATTGATTCGTTTTTCTTACTCAATATCTTGATTGTTTCTCTCAGTTCATTATTTTCAATCTTCATATTTTCCGAACGCTGTAATTCGGTTTCCTCCAGACTAAATAAAATACAATTGGACAGCTAGACAGGTAAAATTGGTAGTGTTTTCAAGTTTTTAATAAGAAATCTAATTAATATTATATATTAACATTTAACACATAATAACAAATCTGCATATAATGTAATTAAAAATGAATGATATTTTTTATGATATCAATAACATTATAATAATCAATAAAACAGCTTAAGACTTTCTTCTATATTATTGATCGTACTCACGCATTTATCATTGATTCGTTTTTCTTACTCAATATCTTGATTGTTTCTCTCAGTTCATTATTTTCAATCTTCATATCTTCCGAACGCTGTAATTCGGTTTCCTCCAGACTAAATAAAATGCAATTGGACAGCTAGACAGGTAAAATTGGTAGTGTTTTCAAGTTTTTAATCAGAAATCTAATTAATCTTGGTTTGAAAAAACCCATGTTTTATTTAACGGTATCTATGCTTGTAACAAAATCTGATTCAATCCAGCATTTATAGAATATCAACTGCACATGCTATTTTTTATATTTCAAATTCACTCAACTGTTTTGTTTTATTTTACTTAGGGTATTTCACTTGACTCTTTTTCTAATTAAAATATTTGAAGAAAAATAAAACTTGTTTAGCAAGAACATCTGACGGTTTTGATAAAAGTGTTATTCATTAGGTGGGTTAGAGAGAACTGTAATTGGTCGCAGCAGAAAGTACAGTCATATTTGCTTTCTGGCACTGTAAACGTATATAAATATAATAAATAGGTGAATGATAGAAAGCGTAGGCCTATGCAATTTTTATTATCAATTATTCTACTTAATATCAATTTTCTTCTCTTCCGCTATGCGTAAAACGGTGATAAAATAATATTAGATCTAAGAGATGGACTTTATCATCATATAAAAATCAAATAAGGCATATGGTGATTATTATTATTATTATTATTATGATACCATCGTAAAAATTAACAAATAAAGACATCATTATCATGATCCTCAAAACATAATCGGAGCCGTCGTTAGCACTAATCATCACCATCAAGTACAAGCCTATCTATTATAGATGGCACATTTTGACTTAATTGAATTTTAAATCCGTATGCTAAACATAGCTGAGTTGTAATGTCATGCCCCATGTATCTAAAATTACAATGATAAATACGCTTAAAATATTGTACCTTTCAGGTTCGTTGGTGACTTTTTCTAATGCCATCGGTAATACAGGTAGTTCTGAGTTCATTTTAGCTTCGTGGTCCTCATCATCAGTTACACTATAAATATAGTAGTTTTTTATATAAATTTTGTCACAATTGTTCTAATTTTTTTAAATATATTTGATCACTGTTGGTTCGTTCATGCTTAATTATTTTACATTTCTTATATTTCTGGGCATGGAAGCAATAAATAACCTTGGAGATTTAGTTCCTGTATCTTCAGTTACATTTTTCTTGATCTTCAACAAGTCCCTCAGAGCTGCGAGTACCTTAGATTTTTTTCTGCATGCACCACACCTTGTAAATAACAACAAAAATATCATGTGACCATGATTATAGACATGGTAACAGAACTTCAATAATGGATTGAAACTGTTTTACTTACTTTCTTTTGTACACCTTATCAAAATGCCGTTCATCATCTCCACTTCTCAGACAATCGTCAATATTAAATATTTTATCTTCATATTTGTAAATTATTTGTTCACGTTTAGAAATTCTGAAAAAAAAACATGATTTGTACAAACTCTTTACAATCGAAGACTGGATTGCTCTAATCCATGATGTAACTAGCGAAATGTTCACACTTTAGGTCTAAACATAACCAATATCTGTGATGCCATTAGATGATAAACTGTATCAGCATGGAGAAAGACATAAAATTAATTATCAAAATCATCAGAATCTAGCAATTCATTTATATTGGTGTACATTGTAGGATATTTTAAACTTTGTTTTCAACAATACTTTCACTTACTAAATATTTTTAAATAAGTAGAATAGATATGATGGGATTAAATTAATAACTTTCTAGAAAAACATAATTTTGAATATGTTACTATGGTTGAGTTTAGTAGCTAAGTTTGAATTTTCATACATTTTATCAATATAATATTTTATCTATAACCTTTATTAAAATAATAGTAAATTTTAACTTACTTATTTCTCATTTCAGCATTCTCCACTTTCAAAGAGTCGAGTACCTCAGTCTTTACTTTCATTTCTTGAATATGGATTCTTCTCTCTTCTTCAATCCTGTGA